GCCGGGCCAGAGTGGGCGTCGCGGCCATCGGGAACAAGCTGTACGCTGTGGGAGGGTAAGGAGGGCAGGGGGTGGCAGGAGCCCCTCGGCAGCCCCCTGAGAAGGGCCGGTGGGATGGAGCCTGGCTGGCTGACTGCAGCAGGAGCCGCTCAAAATGACTTCCCTGGCCCTGCAGCTCCCAAGCAGCGCGTTTTCCAGCTCTCAGTTTGGTGTTGGTTATGTCCTGGGCTGGTGCTGCGTCCTCCTGTTTCCGTGTGCGGGCTGTTTGGAGCTTGCTGACTGCCCAGCCCTCCTCATCCCTCTGAGATCTGCTGCCCCTGCAGCCCCTAGGAGAGCTCAGCCAAGGGCTCTGCACTTCCAGCAGCTCTTTGGGTGCTCTTTGCCTTAAGGAAGCTGGAAAGGGGGAAGAGGATGGTAACAGGGACCCAAGGCTCTTCTTCAGCTCCAGAGCCTCACCAGCATTCCAGGCTTCCCCGCTCATTACATGTTCTCCCTTTTTCTCCCTACAGCTACGATGGGACCTCTGATTTGGCTACAGTGGAGTCCTATGATCCTGTCACCAACTCCTGGCAACCTGAGGTGTCCATGGGCACCAGGAGGAGCTGCCTGGGTGTAGCAGCACTTCATGGGCTTCTCTACGCTGCTGGGGGGTACGACGGGGCCTCGTGCCTAAACAGGTAGGGCATTGCCTTGCTGCTGCACTGCTCCTGCATGCACTGTCTTTGGCACTGGGTGCCTGGGGAGCCCACAAGGCCAGTGTCTTTTGGTCTGGGCAAAGTTTCTTCAGAGGCAAAACCCCATTCTGTAGCCCTCTGCCACAACAGAGCACAGCCTTTGTCAGTTCTTCCCTCCGTTTTCCCTGTCTATTCCCAAGCTTCTTTGGGAGCTGCCCCTGAGGGCTTGTATGAAAGAGCTTTGGCCTGGGCTTTGCCAGTGTCACACCTTATGTTCCTGTGTCCCTGCCTGCTGCAGCGCCGAGCGGTACGACCCTCTGACGGGTACCTGGACATCCATCGCTGCCATGAGCACCAGGAGACGCTACGTCCGGGTGGCAACACTAGGTGGGTGATGGCATGAGGGCCCGACTGACTCCTCTGCAGTCTCTTGCATTCCTGGTGCTTCCTTTCGACATTCTTCTCTTCTAGTTCCTGCCCCTTCTTCCTAGGTTCCCTAGCTGTGAGTCCAGGTAGCCCAGCCATTCCTCTGCCACATCCTGACATGTTCCTTGGCTCTGGTCTCCTTCCCGATCTCCCTGATAGTTGAGTTTTGTCACATTCTGGAGGCAACTCCTGAGAGAACCCACAGCTTGTTCCTCAGCTCCTTTGTGCCTCTTCTAGTTCAGAGCAGGAGGGCTGGCTGTGGATGATCATCTGTCCCTAGAAAGGAAGAGACAACCTTATTAGTCTTTCATGATGAAAGCAGGACAGTCCTCTTACTGATGATCCAAGCAGTAGTGTGGGGTCAAAGCTATCTCTTCCAGGGGTGTCACAACATGAGGAGCAATGCTGTGGTGTCTCCTGACTCCACTGATTGAGTTCTGTATGTAAGGAGGATGCAACACAACTGGCCACTGCACTGATTAGTGCAGCCATGGGGTTAATGCAAGTACCCATCTGCACCCCAGCAGGTGTTGGACCTCCCTGGGGATGCTCCCTACATCCCAGGGCTGCTGGGCTGTGTCCCCATGGTTCCTCTCCCCTGCTCTGTTCTCTGGTTTCAGCTCTCTGTGCTGACTCAGAGGTTCCCTCCCCTCCATCACCAGCTCATGCTCTTGTCTGCCACGGCCTTTATTGGCCTTCCCCTGCTCCAGCCTCTGCTGCTAAAAATAACCCAATGCTCTGGTGGGAAGCACTTGCAGCTCCCATGATGAGGACGTCAAGAAGCATCAGGCAAATGAGCAATTTGGGAAGCTTGAAGTGTGCCAGAGAAATTGCCTGATGAATATTTCACCATGCTGCAAGAGGAGGGGGAGCTGGGGGAGCCCCTGGGGAGGCGCTCAGCTGTACCTGTGTGGTGTCACCCTGTGTGAGAGCTGTGGGAGGCAGTGCTGGGACCACAGCCATGCTCCTTACCTAACTCCTGTGCATCTATGATTGTCTTTGCAGAAGGCAACCTCTATGCTGTTGGGGGATATGACAGCTCATCCCACTTAGCCACAGTAGAAAAGTATGAGCCCCAGGTAAATACGAGAACGTGCCTGGTAACCCTTTTCCTTTCTTGAGGGGGCCCTGCAGAAAGCTGAGGGCCATGTAAGTTGCTAAAGAACTTAGCAGACAATGACAGATCAGCTATCACAAAATCACAGTCGTTCTGCTTGTAAAAGACCTTTAAGATCATCAAGTGCAACCACTGACCCAACTCTATGAAGTCCAGTGCTAAAGCATGTCCCTCAGCACCACATCTACACGACTTTTCAACACGTTCAGGGATGGTCATGCAGCCACCAGCCATATGTGGTCTCTTAGCAAACCTCTGCTGTGCCTTAAGGCTTTCCTAGCAAAGTACTGCAGTCACCTTGGAGCAGAAGGTGTGCCCACATGAGCCTGTGCAGCACAGACCTGTCTGCCTCCTTGGAGACTTAGGCCACCATGCGTGACCATGAGATGGAGCAGGTGTCAGCCCTCTCCCCAGCTCTTCTGCAGGGGCAGAGTATCCAGGCTGCAATCCAGAGCTAAATGAGCCAAAGCTCATTCCTGAGCCAGCCTGCAAAGGTGTCTCCTGCAGCTTTTCCTGCAGGAGAGTGGAAGGGAAAGAACTGGGTGTCCCCAAAAGTCTTTCTAGGGGAGGCCCGTTCTGTCAGGAGCTGTGTGGTTAGAGCAGGAGTGATGTCACAGGACTGGGCTGGTGAGGGCTACGTGGAAAACAACTTGTACACCTGGATCACGCAGCTTGTACACCTGGATGATGAGCAAACCTTGCCTCTTCCCAGATCAACACCTGGACACCCATTGCCAACATGCTGAGCCGGCGGAGCAGCGCCGGGGTGGCCGTGCTGGAGGGGATGCTGTACGTGGCTGGTGGGAACGATGGGACCAGCTGCCTTAACTCTGTTGAGCGCTACAACCCCAAAACCAACACCTGGGAGAGCGTGGCACCCATGAACATCCGCAGGTAAGGAGCTGTGCCACACTCCTGAGCTGCAGGGCAGCCTCAGGAAGGGGGATCCCACCTCCCCGAGAGCCTTGCCTTGCTGGGCACAGCAAACCATAAAATGCAGAGCAGGACGGGGTGGGAGTGCCAGGGCAGAGCAGGGACACCCTGCAGGAGGCATTTTCTGCAGAGGGGTTTATTCCCAGTCTGTGTGGCTGTAGCTGGCTGAGGCCACTTGGGAGATGTTGCTTGGCTGCAGGATGATTTAAGGCTTGGAAGCCCAAGGAGTTTAGGCTCCTAGGGCCTGTTACTTAGAGGTGGCATTTCTCCAGTGAAAGGAGGGGACCAGAGTGAAGGGGAGGATCTGTCCTGCACTCTGCCACCCACTGTTTGAGCCCTTGTAGTTAGTTTTCACTGAGCATTTGTGAGGCTGAGCACAACTCTGTGTGGCTGGCAGAGCTCTGGCCAGTTCACCTGAGGTGCTGAGCTCCCCTGCACCCCCCCCTCACACACCATGTTCAAGCCTCACTCCCTGGTGGTCTCTGCATGATTGTTCCAGAAGCACCCACGACCTGGTGGCCATGGATGGGTGGCTCTATGCAGTGGGTGGCAACGATGGGAGCTCCAGCCTCAACTCCATCGAGAAGTACAACCCCCGTACCAACAAGTGGGTGGCAGCCTCTTGCATGTTCACACGCCGGAGCAGCGTGGGGGTGGCTGTGCTGGAACTCCTCAACTTCCCACCCCCTTCCTCGCCCACCCTGTCGGTGTCTTCAACGAGCCTTTGACAAAGAATCAGGACCTACCTCACCTCAAGGGGACAGGGGAGGCTGGCGCAGCGCTAGGCCAGCCTGGCCCGCCCCACGGGGCAGCCACTCACTGTAGGAGGAGAATGAAGGTACCAGCTGCTGCCCCCATTCCTGGGAACCCCCAGAGCCATCCCCCACTCTTGGTGCACACATCGGATCAGCACGACCACAGCAGTTAGAAATGTGCTTCCCTGGGCCAGCACTCTTCTTCTAGAGGGCCAGGAGAGGGGGTGCTCTCTGCTCCCTTCAGACCCATCTCACCTTTCACCCAAAGGGCCTATAATTTTCTTTGGGGAGGGGAAACTTTAAACCATTGCTGCTTCTTGGATTGACGTGACCCAGCTGGTGCCACACATCTGAGCACAGAGGTGGACAGCAATCCTCCCAGGGACATGGCTGAATGTGCAACTGCTCCTCGAATGTCACTGTAGCCAAACTCTTTGTGCACTGTTACAAGACTCTGAGGCCACTGTCTGGTTCTCAATGGTGTCTGATTGATGCCTTAAAATACACAAACAGAAGAAGCCCAGCTAAGGGGCAGGGCCTGGAGGAGGTGAGGTTTGGAGCCAGAACTGGATGCAGCATCTGGAACCCTCCAGCACTTCCCGTGGCCCCACCTCCTGCACCAAGATCCCAGCTGATCAGTGCTCTGGGGAGTCCCCAGCCAGGCAGGTGGGTTGAATCACCTTGGTGGCATCTGTGCCATTGCTGTCCCAGGTTCAAGTGACTGTGGGGCTGCTGCTCTGCACCTGGCCCTGGGTCACAGTTTGGCTGGGAATGGATCGGCCTATTTGCTGTTCCCCTCTCTGCAAAGCAGATTCCAGGTTTATGGAAAGGTGTTGGTTCTTAAGCAAGAACAGTCCAGCCTTCTAAATGAGGAGGATTACGTGGCATTACTTTTTTGGGTGTTAATTTTTTGCCTTTTTTTTTTTTTTGGTTATTATTTTTTGAATGCTAATATTTTAATTTTTAATGACTTCATATCCCTTTATTTTTTACACTATACCCCTGGTATTCCCTATCCCATCTGCTTTTAAGGCAGCAGGAGGGATGCAATTACTTTTCTCATTTGTTGATGAGATGATGACTGTGTCCTGGAAGATGTTCTCTGTAGATGTGTGTGTGTGAGAGACACTGTATGTACAGTGAAAACAGCCAGAAAGGGACCATTTGCAATTAGCGACTCCCTGGCAATTAAGCAACCACTTTAATTAACTAAAGATTGATTCACTTAGTACTGTAAGTCATAAGCCTAGACCCACCTGTGCCATGGAATCTCTGGGGTGGTGTTTTCAATGTTTTTGTTGTAGGTGTGAGTGTGAGCCTTGAACTGAGACAGGTTTTCAGGTGTTCTCCACATTATAGAGGAATGACTCAACCACTGGTACCTCAATAGTTTTCAAATGTAGCATTAGAAATATGGTCTGTTTGTTTTGAACTAATTCCTCTCTCCTCTTCCCCCTGCTCCTTCTCATCCCTCATTTACAGAGTTCAGATTTCACTTGCCATGGTATTTATTGGCCTAGAGATTTCTTCTTTTTAGTTTGGGGTGAAAGGAGAGTTTGAGATGAGACAGGGACTCCCCAACTAGACCATTTTTATGGTGACCTGTTTTCTTCTGGAGAGGTGCCTGCATGTTTTGCAAGCCCACTTACAGTGCCTAACATCTGACACCTAAAATGACCAGCAGCTTCTGAAAAATCCAGGCTGCTTCTCCCCCCAGCCTCTCCCCAAGAACCATCTGGGCTTCTCAGGCTGAGGAGGCCTTTTTTGGCTTTTACAACAGACTCTAACCACTTTTCATTCCCCTCTCACTTGCCAAAGCCCTGCCTCAGCCTCTCACAGCTCAGCAGCTCTCCCATTCTCTGTATTGCAGAGGACCCTGCACAATGCCCAGGCTCTACTCATCCAGGTTGCCTCTTGGTCAATGTGGCAGAAGGTCTGTCCTAAGCAGGTCTCTGCGTTGCTTGAAGTAATGATGAAGTTGGTGAAGGCTGCTCTGTGGGGTGTGTGTTCCTACACAGGAGTGAGGCCTCAGTCCTTTTCTTCCCATTCCTACAAGCAACATCAGGGTTTTAGTCTTCTGCTGGACTCGTACCAACCCACACGGTCAAGGTGCCCCTGGCTCTGAGGTCCTCTTTGAGGGAAGATCAGCCTAAAAGCCCCATGGCTGTGTCAGAAGGTGCTGAGCCTTGGCCTGATGTGCTGAGGAGCTGCTGAAGGGAGAAACAGGGCTGGTTTCAGACTAGGAATGAGTTGGTGGAGCAGCAGCTCAGCTCCTGGTCCGGCTGTGTGCAGGGAGCCTGCTGCCCTTGTGGGAGGCAGGCAGAACCAGAGGGGAAGTGACCAGGGTAAGAAGGCTGAGGAGAGATTTTGTGCCATGTGCCCCTTGGCCCCAGAGGTAATCTCCAGCAATGTGTACTACAGATGGTGAGCAATGCTGTCCTGTCTTCTGAGGACTAGGGTCACCCACCCCTGCATCCTGAGCAATATCACCACTGAGCCTGCTTGCAGAAACCTGGGGAGGAGGGAGCCTTTTGTGTCTCTGATGTACTAACTATGCAGGTGCTCACTGCTTCCCTGGCAAGGAGAAGGAAGGAAGGAAGGAAAAGGCAAAGTAGTTCCTCAGCAGCTTGTGGGGGTCCAGAGCACCCCGACCCACACTGTGTGGACACGAGGTGTCAGCATCTGCCCTGGGAGATCCCAGGGTGGAATCACTTCTGGTGCTGCACATCCCTGGCTGAGCAGGAGGCCTTGGAGGGGATGTGTGTCTGTGTCTGTCTGTCTGTCTGTCTGTAGTACCCTGTCTGAGGGGAGGAGAACTGTCAACTGTGTGTGGCTTCTGTGCCACTTGTAGTTCGTGGTGTCTCACCCAAAATGTCAGTTGTGCGATTTCCCACGTGAGCCGTTTCCCAGCAGGGGAGCATCCCTGGGCAGGGGGCTCCAGGCTGTGTGTGTGGGTACGTTTTGCCCAGGGACCCTGATGTCAGTCTGCAGTGAGACAGTAAGGCTGGGTAGGAGCCCCTGTCCCATGGGGCAGAGCTTTGCTTGGCCTCACTGGTAGGCAGACCTGGTCTACTCCATGTCAATCCGTTGTCACTTTGATTTCTCTGTAAGTTCTCTGACTTATTTATGTGGAACTCTGTTTCTCTGAATTTTTTGCACTACATGGGACTGGGGAGGGGATACAAGCAATAGAAGCCAACATGTACAATAAAGATGTTTTATTGAATACTGGATCCTGCCTCTTGCATCCTTCCATTTCACTCCTCTGGCCAGACTCCTGTGGAGACAGGGAGCTGCTCCCTGTGTGCCCTGTGCAGGGGTGACAAGATCTCATCTGCCTGGGTGCAGCCACTCCAGGCTTTGCTTTGCAGAGAGCAGGGAGAGGCACCCACCCATCTGGAGGCCACGTTGGGCTGACTCTGCTGTTGTGGATGTTAGCACAGGAGCCACAACCAGCTTTGAAGGAACTGCTGCACTACAGGTGAGCTAAAAAGAGCAGCTCTCAGCCCAGGTGCTGGCCAGGAAGGTTGCTGTCCTGTGTACATGATGTTTCATACTCCCAGAGAGGATGTTGTGCTGGGGCTGTGCCTTCACCCTAAGGCAGAGAAGGAGCAGGGCAAAGATACTGATGGTGTTGGAGAGCACTGGGAAAAGTGCCCAAGGCACAGGGGCTTCAGAGGCAGCCTGAGTTCCACCCCTGCCCACTATTACATTTCTAGCTTGGTCTCCCTAGGACTCCCAGTCTCCAGTGCTGCTGACAGCTTTCCCCTGCAGTGGAAATAAAAACCAGATGAGAAACATCCTCCTTCAGCTCCAGCTGCCACAGGCATGTTGCTGGGGGCAGGCAGAGCTGCTTGGCCCCATCCAGCAGCCCAGAGGCTGATCAGCCCCCCCCGCACGAGCCGCTG